AATATTTCAATGCCGAACACATTTTTTGTCTCGAACTTTACGCCGCTTGAAAGGCTTGAAAAATCGAACAAATATTATTTTGAACTAGCTTAATAAAATACGCAACTACCACCGTGCGGAAAAGTTCGTCTTACTCCTGTAAGACTCTTTTTTTGCTCTTAAAATATTGATTGAGCTACAATTTTTCTTTTTCTTGAATATAATCGAAACCAAATCATTTCAAGAATCCATGGAATAACGCACAGACTCATGATGAATGAAAGTGAATTAAAGCAAGTGACATAAGATTTGGTCATATCACGAATATAGCCAATGAACGGCGATATTATGAATGAGAAATTCCCATACAAAAACATGTAGAGGCCATAACCGGATGCAAATCTAAAATCATAAATAAAAAAATCAGTAAAATGCATTCATATATTTGAGTAGTTTTTCATAATCACTGCGATGGAGGTAGATGATCTGCAAAAATGAGCGGTACTGTAACGTGAAGCCAAGTTCGAAAAAATCCCAATACAATGATTATTACCACCATTCCAATGAAACTGTGTACGTTCAAAAATACTAAAACAAAATCTCAAGTTAATCGTAGGTTCAATAAGACCCCTGTTGATTGAATAAAAATTATATCCATACCAAATCTAAAAAGAATCGTTACAATCGCACCAATTAATGTCACATGGCGTGCTTTGATTTGAATACAAAGAGCTATCAAAGCCATAAATGCACGCGAACCCAAATCCGCGGCAGCGCTAAGACTGACTAATTTCGCCGTATCGGCCTATTTAACCACATTTTTTTAGAATTTATTAAAAAAGGTTATTAAATATAAATTTACCTTGTCGAAGCCCAATTCAAATAAATACATCGGCAAAAGTGTGAAAAATGCATTGTCTGATAAAGTTACAAAAGTTACACCGATAGCAATATTCACATAAATTGGATCTTTAAAGAGATTCAAATCAAGAAAATCCACAATTTTTTGCCATTTTCCATTTTTAACGCGTCCATATGATTCACCCATCAAATCACCCAAGCTTATAATACTTGAAATACGTCTTTTTATTAGATCAAAATCGGTCGGCTGTGTTGTATCGAGAGATCCAATTCGCTCATTACCATTTTCATCTTGATTAAAAGTTGGCACATGTTCAATGTCTACACATAATTTTTTTTCGCCATCAGTTACTGTAACTTTCACAATTTCTTCTTGGTTTGCGATGTTTAATACTAAAATGTGTAATTGTTATGAAAACCGTGAATGAAAAAACTGAAACTATCACATAAAAACCAAAAAATAACATTACATGGTTTTTCATCGTTTAGAGGAATTTTAACCACTTTATAATGCCATTCGATGGGGTGCATAACAGCCATTCCGAAAAAAATGTGCGCATGTATAACTGCAATTAAAGCCGCCGCACCACGGAACCCATATTTATCCATAAGAAATTGTACCATAATTGGATATAACATAATGATGACACCTTTCAGTGTTTGCGTTATACTCATGATAAAAACACGCCTTCTAACAAAGTAATGGTTAAAGGTTGTGTAGGCAACTATTGACATTAAACCGGTTCCCATTCCTGCGATTTTACATCGATATGATATCACATAATTTATATTTTTAAAATGCATTCGAATTTACCCTCCATAATTCCAAAGAATATGACCAAATGTTCAACTGAAGTGGCAAAAGCAGTCAATAAACTGCCAGCGAAAAAAATTGTTGCTCCAATTAATCCAACCGATCGCATCGAAAACTTTTTGAACAAGATGCTCGCAAATAAACCACCAAAGCTAAGCATAATTGAATTCGAACCCGAAATTATTGTCACTGCTTTTGTTTCAGCACCCAAATTTTTCAAAAAATCATCAAATAGCAATCCAAACGATGCAAAACTTCCGATATGAAAAGCCTGATAGAATTAATTTATACATTCACATTGGACATGAATAGAATATATGAAAACAAGTTGAAATTATGGGAAAATTGATAATTACGGCGACCATGGCAACTCCAAATGGTATCAGAAGGCCCCATCCGCCTTTCATACAAAAATAATGAGATAGAAAATGAAGGTTATTCTATTTAAAAAAAAAACCAAATAAAATAGGATTTCGTATTTTGGATAAATGTTGGTCTCACTGAACTTTACATATTTTTATTTAAAATATAGGTACAGTCCCCAACATTTCTAGATGTACGATTGA